TCAAAAGCTAGATGCAATTTACGAAAATCACATATTAGACATGATTCAACGACAACCTCTGAATTACAGGGTCCTGACTTGGGACAGGCTCACAGAGAATGTGTCGTGGTTAAACATGTTTGTGAGCGCTCAACCCTCCCCTAACCTGGGACAGTAGTGTAACAGTACAACATAAAGAACAAATTGTAAAAATCTATCGCAATTGGCTTAACTCAAAAGATTGTACGAGAAAAAAAGTACAACAAAAATACCGAACTCCAAGGTAAATCCAATACAAGGGAAGTCAGTAAAAACTGACAAAGTTAAACGTTATCAATCAACGGAACTGGTGAAAAACAACTGTCATATTCCTGACTTGGTACAGGCAGGATTAAACCTGGTTTTAAAGTTAGCTTAACCTCTCGCTTTTATGACAGCTGTTTATAATTTCGTTATACCGACAAAATTGGGTTAACAACCCAAAAACAGACCTATTAGGCCAACGCGATAACAACTGTGATCTTGTAAACATACATCAAAGGACACACAACACAACTGACTAAAAAAATGAAAAAAACATACAAACAAATCCAACAAAGACGCCAACAAAAGCGCTGCTGTAGTTGATAGTAATTTGACAAAGACGCCAGCAAAAAGTTTTTGTATCTGATGGTATATTGACAGAGACGGTCGATTAAAAAAGATTTGTAGTTGATAGTACTTATCATATATAGTATACATTTTCTGGATAAAGTTCAAACCAAGCAAAACACAACTACAATGTAGTCAACAGCGTAAAAACCTCCGAATCGTACCCACCTGTACCAGCAATGCCCAAAGTCAAATTACAACTAATATCAGTAAACATCCAACAGACGTCATGGACAGTCTGAGAAACGCATGCCTTTGTGTAATGCCAAAATATAAGTAAATAGTATCGACAGGATGTACGACAATGAGTGCCCATAACTGTACATAGATAGCAATGTATATTTTACTTATGTTTTAATTTTTCAAAAACAAAATGAAGTCAGCAACAATAAGACCAATATGATAAAGAATAAGTTTTTTTTTCAAAGGATCAATTAGTTTACATGGATTGCATCTAAATTTACGGGCTTTATAAATAACCTCACCGTAAAAATTGGGATGTGATATCCCGTTTTTATGAAGAACTCTACAAGTACAGCCGAACTTCCTATTCAAATATTTGTATCTATCAGAATTTGGTGAAGATTTGATAAATTTGTGTTAACGAAATCCCTTATAGAGGGTTAGTAAAATCTATAGGGAATTTGGACTTCGGCCTCAACCCCTATGGATCCGTAGGGGGTCGGGCGAATTCCCTATGTTTTTTACTAACCCTCTATGATCCGTAGGGGGTCAGTAGCAAACCATATAACTTATGATAGGTGGCTCTATGTTATCAAAATACGAAGGTTAAAGTTTTAAACGGTAGAGTCATTGAAAAAACACCTCTGTTAATGTATTTTATTTATTTTTCGAAAATACCTTTTATGATCTTCAGGTTTGTCATTTCGAATGGATAGGTCACACACTGCGAAAACCAACAAGCAGCATTACAAGGCAGGCATTTAAGTGGAACCCTCAGGGAAAAAGAAACAGAGAACGACCAAGAAACACCTGGCGCAGGGACACAGAAATTGAAATAAAGCAGCAAGGATACAATTGGAACACTTTAGAAAAGCTGGTGCTAAATCGAGTTAGATGGAGGGAGTTCTTCAATGGCCTATGCTCCCCAGAGGAGCCAAGGGCCTAAGTAAGTAAGTAATTGTTTTTAAATATAGATAAAAGATCAAGTGTAAAATTAAAACGATGATTGCGGTTAATGTAATTGCCATGAGACCTATGATTACGTTGTCTTATATCAACAATAATCATGATATCAAGAGGGGAAGTTTTAGATAATGTTCCCTTGGACCATGATATTGTCATCTAGAATTTCAACCAAAGATGAAGAATTGGATCTTCCTTCATTGTATTAGATACCTAAACTACATAAGTGTCCTTACAAACAACGTTATATTTCTGGATCTTCCAAGTGCTCCACGAAACCTCTTTCTAAATTATTAACATCAATTTTATCAGCAATCAAAGATTCAAAGTTATTGTGAAACTACCTATTCTAGAGGCAGCGTGAATCAGATGTGGATACTAAAAAGTTCCAAAGATCTTTCAGAGTACATACAATCTAAGACACTTTCCTCTTGCAATAGTATTAAAACATTTGACTTTTCTACACTTTGCACAAGTATTCCCCATTCAAAACTAAAAGACAAATTGGAAGAACGTTGGTCCTGCTTTGTTTTATAAAAAAGAATGGCTTAAGTAGATACAAGTTTCTTGTCTTAGGGAGAGACAAATTGTGCTATGTTAAAAATCACAATTCAAACAAAAAATCCTCTGAAACTGACATTATCAAGATGCTTGATTTCTTGATTGACGACATATTTTTCATGTTTGGAGGACATGTTTTTCAACAAACAATCGTCATTCCCATGTGAACCAACTATGCTCCGCTCCTTATCGACTTTTTCCTTTATTCATATGAGACTAACTTCGTACAGGAACTTCTTAGGAAGAAAGAAAAGAATTTAGCATTATCCTTTAACCACACTTTCCGCTATATAGATGAAGTTCTTTCACCAAATAATTTAAATTTGGTGACCATGTCGAACGCATCTATCCCATCGAACTTGAGATAAAGGATACATCAGACACAGTTAAGTCGGCCTCATATCTTGACGAACATCTAGAAATTGACAATGCTTGTCGGTATAAAACAAAACTTTACGACAAAAGAGAACATTTCAGCTTCCCAGTTGTGAACTTTCCATTTCTATGTAGCAACATTCCAGCAGCACCTGCATACGGAGTATTATCTCCCAGTTGATACGATATTCCCGGGCTTGTATTTCCTATCACGATTTCCTTGAAAGAGGATTGCTACTCACAACGAAGCTATTTAACCAAGAGTTCCAAGTGGTGAAGGTGAAATCGTCCCTTCGTAGATTTTATGGACGCCATCACAAGTTGATTGACCATTATTGAATATCCCTTTCACAGATGACAACGGATATGTTCCAATTGTCGTAACTACAATCCCTTCCCCTTTTCTCCGAATGTGACCTACCAAATTAAGACTCATCACCGGGTAAGTACTAACATGAGCAACACGATGGGTGCCACATGTAGAGCGTGATCTGCTTACCCTTCCAGAGCACCTGAGACCACCCCAGTTTATGGTGGGTTTTGTGTTGCTCAGTCTTTAGTTTTCTATGATTTGTTTTGTGTACTGTTGTTTGTTTGTCTTTTTCTTTTTAGACATGACATTGTCAGTTTATTTTCATCTTGTGAGTTTGAGTGAAATGTTCACATGACAAAAAATATAATTTTGTAACAGTGAAACCATGAAAATGAGGTCAAGGTCAGATGAAACCTGCCAGACAGACATGTACTCCTTACAATCATTCCATACACCAAATATAGTTGACCTATTGCTTATAGTACTTGAAAAACAGGACCAAAACACAAAAAAATGAACATTGACCAATCAACCATGAAAATGAGGTTGAGGTCATATGAAACCTGCCAGACTGACATGTACTCCTTGCAATCATTCCATACACCAAATATAATTGACCTATTGCTTAAAGTACTTGTAAAACAGACCAAAACACAAAGACTAAACATTGACCAATGAACCATGAAAATGGGGTCAAGGTCATATGAAACCTGCCATACTGACATCTACCCCTTACAATCATTCCATACACCACATATAGTTGACCTAATGCTTATAGTATCAGAGAAACAAACCTAGTCACGTAACTTTAACCTTGATCACTGATTCATGAAATGAGGTCGAGGTCAGGTGAACCCCGTCTAACAGACATGTAGACATTGCAAGGAACCCATATACTGTGGATTCATTTATTTTCGTGGGTACCAATTTTCGTGGATTGAGGAAAACTTGCATATTCGTGGATATTCAATTTCGTGGTTTTTGCAAAGTCTGGATACATTCCTTTAGACAATTTGTAATTCGTTGAACATTTAAATTTGTGGTTCCCCTGTAACCACGAAATCCACGAAAATTAGTATCCAACGAATATGAATGAATCAACAGTACCAAAAATAGTTATCCTATTACTCATAATTAGTGAAAAATTCACATGACAAAAAAACGTAATTTTTTTTTCAAGCAGTCACTGAACCATGAAAATGAGGTCAAGGACAATGGACATATGACAGACGGAAACTTCATAACATAAGTTATCTGCACACAAGATATGAAGCATCCAGGTCTTCTACCTTCTGAAAAATAAAGCTTTATACAAATAGTTTACACTGCTGCTGCAGCCGGATAGTAATACCTATGTGTTGCATACTGCAACTTTCGTCGCAGGCAAGACAAAAAACAGTAATTTCCTTTAATTTTGTCATTTCTTAGCTTTTAGGTTTATGTAAAAAAATTGATTGGTCTTAAAAAGAAGCCATGTATCGCCTGTCATCACAAATAATATAAGTAGAAATAGCAAAGTCCATGTTTTAGAACAAGGAAAATAAAAAATTAAACAGATCAAAAGTTAAATAATAGGTGCATAGCTTAATGTCAAGTAGAAAAATCAATGCAAGTTTGGTTGAATTCTTTGAAGTATTTTTCAAAGTGTTGCCATTAACAAACTAATACAAGCAACAACCTGATTCGTGTTTTGGTAAGGGAATCCAAAAAAAAAAGTCACATATATCAAAAATTTAAATTACAGGTGCAAATATGTCAAATAAAAATAATCTATCCAAATTTGGTTGGATTCCGTGAAGCCAATTTTGAAGGAGAAGCATATTAATAAAGTGTGCTGCAGAAGACTATGACAGAAGTGATCCCTGTGCTTCTCCTAATCTAGATGCTGTGAGGAAGTAGGAGCAGAGATACAATACAAATGTGTTACTACAGCTCAACACTGTCAGGCAACATTAATTATAACAAATGACTGATACAAAATATAACAATTAGTTTTATTTGCCTTCAACAAAGTAAACATAATCAATATAATTGGAATGTTATCAATAGAAACTTTACAATATATTTATATTGCACTATCCCACACATATATTGTATGAATATAAAAATCCTTATAATACTTTATAAAACAATAAGAGGCTCCCAAGAGCTTGAATCGCTCACCTAGTAAATATATATTATTTATCTATATTGCAAAGAGTTATGTTTGCTTACTTGTAGATCTTGTTTAGTGACCTTTTTGTAGGTCTTGTGTTGATGATCATTTTTAGTGTTTACAGTTTGTACCTACCTATCAAAGTTAGTGAGATAAAAAACGTCATTTGATGGCAATAAATCCTATACCTAAAGTGACAGTCTATGTTGACTTGCTTTTAGATCTCATTTTGCTGTTTGTGCTAAAAGTCTCTTTCCAACTCCTTTAGGTTTTGACTAAAATGCAAGAAAATAGATAAAAATCATCATTCAGGGGAAATAACTTCTATAAGGAGTCAGTTGACAGTTTCGACCATGATCACTGATTTGTAGATCTTATAGTGCTGAACATTTTTGTTTATCCTGCTGTTTCTCTCTATCTGTTCTAGTTTGTGCAAAAACTGAAAAAATATAAAACAAAATCATCTTTCAAGGACAATAACTCATCTCAGGGTCATTTCATAATTTCAATTATGTTGACTCATATGTAGATCTTATTTTGCTGAACATTTTTGCTAATTTCTTTGCTTTCTATCTACGGTATCTTTGTTTCTGCCCCAAAAAATCATAAATTGTGTAATTCAGGGGCATTTACTACTAAATAGGAGTCAGTTGACAATTTCCGCCATATAGACTTATTTGATAATATTGTTTTGCTGAACACCTTTGCTATTCACAATTTCTCTCTATCTACATGATCTTTAATAGTCTCTGCAAAAAAAAAATCAGACAGTGATAAAAATTAGTCTTTCAAGTGCAATAACTCCATTTGACAATTTTTGCCATTTGACTTATTTGTAAATCTTATTGTTCTGTTGATTATTATTTAAAATTTCTCTCTATCTGTTACAGGTTTCAAGATAATTATCAAAGACCGTAAAAATTTGCATAAAATTTGCATTTCAAGTGCAATGACCAAAACGGGGTTGCCCAATTTTTTTTCAAAAATTCTTTTGGAGATAGACCTTTAACAGCTGATCAGTTCAATGCAGTCAGATTTACTCCTACTGTTAAACCAAGAACTTTGAAATATACTAAAAATTTACATTTCAGGGGCAACAACTCCCAAATGGGTTGTCTGATTTTTCTGAATATTAGGCAAAAGATATACCGTGAAATGTTAACCGTTTTAACCCTTGCGAGATTTGCTCCAACTGTTTAAGATATAATCCAAAATTGCATTTTACCCCTATGTTCTATTTTAAGCAGCAGCTGCCATGTTTGTTGATGGATCAAACCCCGGGATACAATTTATAAACTAGCTACCCCAAGGAACATTCAGGTAAAGTTTGGTATCATTTGGCCAAGTAGTTTCAGATAAGAAGACTTTTTTTTAATATCATTAATATCGTTATATGACAACAGACATATGGAAAACCAAGACAGATGCCAAGTAATGTCAAAAGTTACCATTGACTTTTAGGCCAGGTGAGCTAAATATAAAAAAAATTATATTTAATAAACAAGAGATTTCTCTTCAACAAACTCCTTGTTTACAAACAGAGACACAAAAGCATTATTTTAAATAGGAATCTGTAAAAAATAAGTAAACATTCTAAAAGTAATCCTAAAAATGAAAATAGCAGGCATTTTTCCAGAATAAGATGATACTTCTGTTTCAAACATAATTTTCTTTAGCAACCACTTTTATTTCAAACATAATTTTCTTTAGCAACCTGCAAAATGATTTGGTCGTGTTGTTTAGTTGCTGCTCAACGTTCAGTGGTAAATATTCCTTGCATATTCAGGACACATAATTGGATTACGGCACTGTGTGCAACACTAAACTTTTATCAACATTATAGAATTTTCTTTGACATTGCTTTCATATTAAATGCTTTTTATAATCGTTTTGGTTATTTTTTTTTTAGGATTTCTAGTAATAAAATCACATGGGAATCACAGGCGAAGTGCTTTTCTTATTTGATTTTACAAGTAAAAATGTTTAATAGCAAAATTTGTCTTTATTGTATGGCAACTAGATAAGTATTGGAGTTATTTGGAGTTTTTTTTTAGCCTGTAAAATCACATTATCATCACAAGGATTTATACAGCAGTCTACAAAGTAAAACTATCTTGCTAATACACAGTTAGAGTTCAGGCTATGTGTTATTTCTTGTAATGCAATTCTTTTTTTTACCACCACTCTGCATTCCCTTTAGGTAGATTAGTGGACTTTGAGATCATTTTCCCCTCTGGTTCATAAACCCATTTTTTTTCCTTCTTGCCTATTAACCTATTTGTTTTCCCTCTCTTTTCCATATAATCACCATGCCTTGTTCATCACATGATGCTAGTAAACTTTCATCACAGTTAAAACACACATCAAGGACGGGAGCTGAGTGTCCTAACAGTTTGTTTACACAAGGTTTACTTTCCTTACACACATCAAAGAAATACACACACATGTCTTCACTGCCAGAAACTGAAAAAATAATATCAACATGTACATACTTGATTTTAATTGCAGTAATTGATTAAGGAATCACATCAATATTCATAAATCTTTTCTGTAACAACTTAAATTCAAACAAAACAGGGCATAAATTACATTCAGGGCATCTCTTTTTAAAATTATGTCCAATGTTCATGTTTTAAATATAAAAATAAGGAGTTGTAGTATGATTGCCAATGAGACAATTATCCACCAAAGTTCAAATGAAGTGGATGTAAGGGTCATTATCAAAAAAACATGCAAAACTATGTTATTTGGTCTTTTCAAGTAAAAGACATGAAACTATATCAAAATGTATCAAAATAACTATTGCATATGAAAGATATGAATGTTTTGTGATACACTATACACAGTTTACAGTATGAAATGTTATAAAAACATTCTTAATTTTTTCTCAAACCCTTGGATATAGCCAGAATCAACTGTTATTTTTTACTATATATCCCTTCAGACCTGAAATAGGGCTATTATTCATATCATTTGTTATTAGAAATTATCACTTTTTATTGCATTTGATACATACAAACATTTTTTTAATGATTTGGAAGGTGTATGTTGGTTTTATAATAAAAAATTTAACCAAAAGGAAAAGTCTCATTTTTTAAGTCAATGGTGTAACCAAAAGACAAATTGGTAGGGTAAGAGTTATCTTTCTCAATATTTCAGCATTTACAATAGTTTCTCCCTTAGCAATGTTACCTGTAAGCATGTTATGCAAAAGAAAACAAACATTTATGTTGAAAATTTAGTAAAAAAATATTAAAAGTAAGTACAAGCTATATCGTAATTGAAAATAGTGTCCATGGTGTACCCTTATAAAAATCATTTTTTTTTTTTAAATTCCTGAACTTTGAATTATGAAATATATTGATTGTAGAAACATGCACCAGGAACACCATATAAAATAGGGGAATGGAGCCCTTATTTTGTAACTAAATCTTAAAATACACCTGAAAATCAATGGTGTTACTGTCAATGGTGAGACCATTTTAATAAAATAACACCATTGACCAGCTTAGTAACACCACTGAATATATTATGACAATCAGCATTTTTTGGTGTTTCTTTCATGTTTAACAAGAGAAACATCATATTATTTATAACAAACAATACTTATTTAACAATGTTTTAACAATATCATGTACAAATGTATTACATATACAAAGTTTTCAAAAAACTGGTGTATGCTGGTAACACCAATGACACTATTTAGTAACACTACTGACATTTTTAGTTATTGATATTATGTTATATAATTTGAGATTTTCAGCCTAAGAATTATTTTTTCTTCTTTTTCTTTTGCTCAGTGTTCTCTGTTTTGTGTTCAGTACTTAGTTTTGTGTTCAGTACTTAGTTTTGTGTTCAGTACTTAATAAAAGTAAAATTTGAAATGTGTTGTCAATGGTATAGCTAGAGGAATAATGTCAATAAGTAGTAATTTAAACCTTAACAACAAATTGGAACAGTTGTTTGATGTTTAACAATAATATTTAGTACCTAAATGCATGTTTTAAATTGGTAACACCATTGACACGATTCTATCAAAGGATGACCTAAAATTGTTAAAATTGAAGGAACCCTTTATTTTTCCCATTGCATATTTCTGAAAATAGTTGCTACCATACTATAGAATAGAGGGACACATTTAAATGTTTTAAACAATGACATCGTTTTTCCAAATATTACTTCATCGAAATTTGCATGTTTTTTTATAATGACCCGTAAGCAATTTAAAGTATGGTTGCCATTGCAACAAACATATCTTAACTAATTTGCATTGCTACTTTTTGACACACTCCACATGTTTAATTTAATTTATCCCAAATATGCTCTATTTGGAAAACAGATTGTTGTGGAAATCTTAATTTTCAGGAAAAGATTAATCAGGTTGATACAACTGAATCAATTTGTTTCAATGCACGATTTACGATTTTCAGTATCTTTATACAATTAAATTGACATGACCAGTTGAAAGAAAATAGGAATAAGGCAGTATCATTTGTAAAAAAAATGTGGAGTACATAAGGACACATTCTCTTTATCTGAATGACATAATTACTTAAGGGGTCTGATTGAATAATGCTGATGATGATTTGGTGTTTAACATCAAGTGGCAAACTTGTATGTGTGATTAGCAAACAAGCAGCAAATATCCATTTTCAAGATGACGTTTGACCCCTTTGTGGATCAAATCCTAGACATTTCATACTTGAAGCATGCTGCAAGAAACAACTGATAGATTTTCTCATTGATTTATGTTCACGTCTATTTTTGGTGTTGAAGGTTTTGTGTTGGTCTCAGAAGTTTCAACTGATGGCACAGCTAAAGACTGTCAAATAAAAGAAAGTTTTGACAATAAAACCTAAACCAATCACATTCCTATGAAAATCCCTGTACAGGACAAGAATTCAGTATATTGGTATTTCAAATTTTTTTTACTGACGTCTGGTGTATGCATGATATAGTAAAGTACTGACATATGATCCTTTAATGGGTGATACAGTTACTGACTAATGCCAAATATCTAAATAAGTGTGACTTACTAACACACGCCCCTTGTCGGAATGACATTAAGGGACAAAATGTGCTCCTTATAGAAGATCTCTTCTGTTTGACTGGAAATCTTTTCTTTAATTGCAATGCTCCATCTTCACTTATTATTCTGTAAATAAACAGAGAGTTTCAGAACTTATATCAAAAATGGCAGATCTGAGGAAAATATATAATACTTTAAATAAAGTATGCCTGTAAATCAGGCTTAATTAATTTCTTTTATAGCATCTTGTTTGATTGAATTTATACTCTTCATCTATATACCAGCAAACTATCCAATTACAATTCCAGCTATACATTATTGCTTTAAGGAATTATAGCATTTATAAAAACAAAACTATTTTACTGGTATTACCTACTAAAGTTTAATTTTCCAGTGTAAAAATTTAATCACAATGCAAATATTTCAGACATGAACGAATGCAACTAAATAAGAATTTATTAAAAGTAGACATATGGTTTTACAAGAACAGATAATATATAATGAAGGTTAATAATTAACAAGTTCTTACTTGAATAAACAGAGTGCATTAACACAACAATTAACTAGTAATGAAGGATCTCTTGCTTCACGACTAATCCATGACCTGGCTGATATACATGTCACTGGTAATCCTTCACATACTGTTATTCTGTAAACAGATATAAAAACTGAAGCAATTGGAAGTGAAGGTAAAACTATTAACATTGAGATATATCTCACTTGCTTTGCAGCAAATATGATGGTTTTATTTTTATTTATTATTATCTAAATGAAACGAGCTGCTCATATTTGCATTTGAAATATCAATGGTCAATCAGATGTAGTTCTTCACAAAAGCACCAGAGAGCATAGGATTCAAATTTTGTAGCTTCAAACCTCATTTCATAATTTCAACTTAAAAGAAGTAGATTTTCATTAAATCAATGAGTCATATTTCTACATACTAAAACAAATTTTTTTGATGTGACCAAACAGGGACATTGTACGCACACTGTACAAACCTTCTTGCTTTTATCAGTTTTCCACTGTTCACATCAATGGTAAAGGAGTGAATTGAGCCTTTGTCATCTCCTGTCCATAATATATGTCCTGTACTATCAAAGGCTAGAGCTAGAACTTTACCAGTCACTTTACTGGATCCTCCCTGTAAAATATAATATATGTAATGTGGCACCAAAAGCTGGTTCTAGAATTTTAGTATTCATTTTGCTGGAACATGGTGTATTTTTTTTAATGCCTCTAGCTATTAAAGACTTCTACATTAGGAAAATCAATAGTCTGACACTTCACTGTAATTTCTCTATAGAATAAATGTCAGACAAGAGCCAGAATGTCGACAGTCATTTTGGACCAAACATATGGAACATCATATAAATTCTTGAAGGGAAAAATAGGAACATTAAGCAGGGACTTTTCATTTTACTCCTTCCCAAATATAAAGTGTTAAAAGATCTCTCTATTAAATTAGATGAAAGATGTATATGTTAATCAGATAACTGCTGTTTTGGGGCTAAAATCTAAATTTAAACTTACATACCAAGCAAGAAATATTCGTAAGTTTTTTTAATTTATCTATCCATAACAACAGCAGGAGAGACACAAGAAGATTCTACCTTTCTGTTTTACTTCAGCATAGGTGGAAATAACTTTTATAAAAAAAATAATGATCCAGAAATCAAAACCCCCCAAAAAAACAAGACAAAATAAACTAATAATAAATTGTATAAAAATTTAATTTTTGCTTATCTTACCTTGTATCCTTTGCCGGTTGATATGTTTAAAACTTGAACAAAGCATTTACTATTCCCTGTCTGGTATTAGTTAAGGTTATTACATGTCATAGTCAATCAATCATTATAAAACAGTCTCTGTTCAAGTTTTGTCAAATTCCATAAAGGTTAGACAAAATTAGTCGAAGTTCTAAAATCTTTTAACTAAAGACTCTACCTAAATGTTAACAGCAAAAAATGAGTCCAATTATATTGATTGATTGATTCTTGCTTGTTTTACACTACCAGGAAAACAAAAACAATAAAGCTATAGATAATACTTAATGATTTAAAAATTCCCGAAAGGATACAACAAACATGTTATTATTTAACGGATGGAAGACACATGACATGAGTTCTGCTGCCATACTGTCCTCTATCACCCTCATACACTTCCCTGCGGCTATATCCCATACTCTGGCTGTGGCATCTAGTGATACTGAGAGAATTACATCATTGGAAAGGGAAAACACAAAATCTGAAATTGATAAGAGTAATTTCATGAATACTAGCTGATGATACAGAGAAAATAACACTATTGTATAGCGAAAATATAAAGTTCTAAATATTCAGAAGGTTTAAAAAACAAAAATAGCACTTAATAAATTGGGGTATTTTTTTAAGTCCAAAGTACTTTCTGGATTTACCTCCATCATGAAAATCAGTTGATGTTGGTCAGAGTATTTTTAATTCTCGGAAGGTAAACTGTCTGTCCCATTGAATATTTACGACAGCTTTTGTTCTCTGCGGAGTTCTTTCATTGGGAACTTAAAGCTTCATATTGTAACTCACAGCTGATATTTTACCTAATCAATTTTCAGAAAACCTGATAATCAGTACATATATGTATGCAAAGCTTTCCTTAATGGGGCTTTGATTGGAATAACTTAATGTTTTTGTTTATGTACCTGTAACCCCAGCAGCATGACCTCTCAACATACAGATTACAGTGGCTGGATCTGGTATAACCTGACATATTGACAGAGTACCATCCAATGAGGCACAGGCCAATCTGGTTTTATCATCATGTCCAAATTTTACATTAGTAACTACAAAAGAAGAGATTTAGAAATACAACAATTAAAATATATCAGTATTCAGGAATAAAACTACCAGAATTTTTAGGGCATTTCCCGAAATAAATACCTGGAAGGGTCAAAACTCTATTGCTGGGGCAAGTGCTCCACATCATTCTCAGTTTCAATGATTTTTATGTATTATAGAAATCAAGTAAACAAACAATGTCCATTCCTATCATATTAAATACCTAAAAACCTTTAAACAATAACATAAAAAGGGAAGGAATTCATCATCCAATCATATCCAGTTTTAATTATCTCTTAAATGAGAGTACGGAGTAAAACATTGAGTTAATAATAATTCTCTTTCACTGAAAGTACCTGCTGCTGTGTGTTGATCAAATATATGATGCATTCCTGCAAAGGCATAATTCTCTGAGACGGTCTTCCCTCCTGCCATTGCCCTGAAAAACATATATATTTTCTTTGTTAATTTTCTTAATGAATAAGCAAACAACAAACAGTTATTAAATTTACCTAAATCCTATAATAATACTTGAAATGATAACTGTTGATTATCAAATAACAAGGTCCTTCTTCTGTGGATTCATTTAATTTTTTGGGAACAAATTTTCGTTGACTGAGGAAAAATTGTGTATTTGTAAATATTTGAATTGGGGGATTTGCCAAAGGGGCATACAAGCCTCTAGAAAATTGCTACTTTGTTGAAATTTTAAAATTGTTATTTCCCTTTTAATTAACTAATTCATCCACAAAAATTGTTATCATACAGTATAGGTTTTAATACTTGACACAATGCTTAATGATCAAATCAAAACCCGAACAAAGTTATGATAATTATACCTGCTTGCTTCAGCTTCATCTGTGGGAACAACTTCTATACTGTCAAACACACGTTTCATTGGTCCTTCAAAGATATGCTTCAGTGATCCACTGCTCAAGTTCCTACGATGTTTCTTACTATCACTTAGATTAAGCTTGTCAAAATTCTATAAAAAAAAAATTACCATATTTAAGGAATGCTTAAAATTTAATGTGAATGATAAACTTTCTTCATCCAAAGGAGATTGGTAAGCATGAAATTAAAAGAATTAACATTAGCAAGGCATTGATAAATCATTATCTTAATAAGTTAATAAAACAGAATATTATTTTTGGTTTGATCAGGGTAAACGCTACAATATGATATAATCAACTAAACATGATTATTTTCTAACTCCAAGCAAACTGGTATATATATGGAATTAAAAGAATCAACACTAGACAACAGTAATACCATATATGGATTTGCCATAAAAATATTCTACTAACTTCATGGAATGAAAAAAAAAATTCATCACTGGTCATTGTTTGGTGAATGTTACACTCAACCAATGAGGAAGCACACCCATTGTATTAATTAAATAACTAAAGAAATAGCTAACTTCTATGTCATTTGGTCACTGGTAGAGAGTTGTCTCATTGGCATCCACATCTTCTTATTTTTATATTAACAGAGTTAACAGACTGAAAATGACAAAATAATTCAATCGCCTCAAGTTCTGTTTGATGGTATTAGAAAACAGAGACCCTAATTGGATTCTTAATCCTATTACAATGTATTGCAGGCTAAATGCCTATCTGGCTACATGTTTAATTTTAATACAATAAAGTATTGTGACTAACAAGACCTTAAATAATTACATACTGGTAAATCTAAGCCACTCCTTCCTCCACTTCTTAAACTTATAGACCGACTTCTTATACTTCTAAAAAATATAAAACAATTGTTATATAGCTTTAGGTTTACTGGGTAAATATAAAACAATTGTTATATAGCTTTAGGTTTACTGGGTAAATATAAAACAATTGTTATATAGCTTTAGGTTTGCTGGGTAAATATATCAATAACAAACAAATATAAGTTTGTCTGTCCTAATCACTCAAACTTTTAGGAAGAAGGCACATACTGAAGGCCTGTTGTGTTGTTTATTATGACGCAGTATGTTTGAGTCAAACAGTCCTTGTGTAATTTTGCAACTTTACTATATTTACAGTCATTTCACAGGTGTATAACCTGCTTCATAGAACTGTTTTATACCAAAATAGCTAAGATTTATTGAAGTACATAGATCTACCATTAAATTTTGAGAAATCTTTTACAATAAAATTATATTTGAGTTGAGGGCAGATTTTGCTCTAGACTATTACTCATTTTACTATCTCATTTGACCATGAACAGATCTATATAAAAGACTGTAGAAGTTTTATTCTAGATTATTTCAACATATTTTTTTGCGTGACAAAGTCAGAAATGTCATATTTGTTGCTGTCTCCTGACGTCTTCCATCTGTTTAGAAATTTATTGTTATTTCATATTTACAGATTTTATTGTTAAATTTTCTCACAATTTTGGCTTTTTTTAGAACTTATGTTGTTCTATTGCTTGTTCATATTTAAAGGCTTTTTTGAGACCTCTAGTTGTTTTGTTGTAAGAAAGATTGACTATAAAATACTTTATTTTCCCTGAGATTTAATTTTGCAGTTTCGATGTACAAACTGGTTTGAGAGGGTTTATTTGCATTTTTCTTGCTCCAGACTCCTGACTCTTTTTTTCCATGCAGAAGAATTTTATGCCAGGGAATACTTTTGCGATTATATCTTATTTATGAAATAAGTAAAGATTTACCTTTTGGGAAAATTATAAACATAAAGCTCTCTCTCCAGATTCTGTTTAAATTTCATTCATTACTGCATCACTTAATTAAACACTGATAAAACCTACCCTCCATCTGAGAAAGCTGGACTACCATATCTAGCATTCAGTAACTGAGCCCTAATATGAAGGTGATCTTTCCTGACTGAGGGGTCTTTCTGAAATTAATAAAAACAATAATGCACTTTGGTGTTTCAAACTTATCATTAAGTATGTTATTATCATCTTCAATAACAAGTAAGTCAAGTTGACATTATTATGAATAAATACATGTAGTAGTCTCTTGGATGGAGAGTTGTCTCATTGGCACTCATACCACATCTTCTTATATCTTAAGTATCTATCCAATAGACCACTTTCGAGTTCATTGCATTTCCGTCAAAAACTTTGGTTTTAGTGAACTGCATTCGTGCATTTAGGGGCATCGTCACTTCCTTTCCATGTTGAGCGAACAGTTAAAAAAATATGACGTTATATTGCATAAATTATTAGGCAAATTAAATTCTTATACTTGATAATCAGCACTGCCCTCATTACAGAATTGTGATCAAGTACCTACGGAACGAACATTATTTCTAGATTGGCCTTTCACAATGATCATCGTGAAGATGCTTAATAAACTTTATTAGTGCAGGAATACATGCGGTCCCCTTTATCTGGTAAATGTCGTCATAAAGGCGGGGATAACTGACAAACTTTTCAGGTGAAGGACATAACTCGAAAGTGGTCTATTCATTCGCAAAATACTTGTACTTCTGACTGTTACAAGTATGAGCTTTACACACGTTATGGACAACAGTTTATCAATGTAGATCTATAGTGACCTTTGAAAGTCATTTTCGGTTGTTTAGTGTTGTCAGATTGCTGCCTAATTAAATGCATTACCCATGGATCTGCTTTATATTAATCTTTATCACAATGAAAAAATATTTCAAAGATGCAAACTTTTATTGTTTGTAGAAAATTCATTGATCTGATCAATCTTAAATTTGTGGAATAGAAACTACATGACTTTAATTATATTTTCTCTACATCACAGAACTCACTCCTGACTTGGCACACTCCCTTAATAACTGACTTCTTCTTCTTATATACAAAGTTCCTGTAAAAGAAATAACAGCAATGCACAAAGTGGAAATATCATCAACATATATAATGTTAAGAGAGATTTGTTTACTGTTAATGAAGTTAGGGATGCTCAATTCAAGGGTCATCTCCCCCCTCTAAAATAAGCTGAAAAGTATGTCTAAAAGTTATAAATACATATATGAGGGTAGGAATGCCCTTTATCGTCAAGCGTCAAACGTCCGTTTTTTCACTACCGTTAACGTCAAACAGTCAGGGATATAACTCTATAGGGTTATTACAGAAAATAACTTGCATGTGTTATTACAGATACTTTTATGAGTTGTCTACTCTTTAATTCTTAAATTTACTAAATCATTAATAACATATGTTTGTTATTTGTAAAATAAATCATAAATATTTTTATTTTTAGTTGGCTCTAGGGAACTCTTGAAACTTTGCGCAGAAACTAAATGCATAGCCTTGAAAACTAACTATTAATTTAGATTAATACATTTTTCATTAACCAAGGTAAATCAATGAGACAAGGCTTTTAAGTGATTAACTTAGCTGTAATAACAAGGCTTAGTTATTAAAGGCATGTAACTTATTAAATGAGAGACTTGAGAATTACTGGGAAGCTTGCGCAGAACCTCATTACATGCTCTGATCATTACTTCTTACAATAAATTAAAATACATTGTAATTGAGCATGATCTATGTCTGAGCAAATGCTTTGAAGTGATGTAGAGAAGCTATAATAACACCCTTTAGTTATTACAGGCATATTTGTTCTGTAATAACATAGGTGTGATATGCATGATTGGCAAACTATGAACTGTTATATATTTCTATAGTTAGTTATCAAAGTTCTTTGATTTTTTTGTCCACAATAACAAGTGTATGTTATTTTTCTCTAATAACCCTATAGAGTTAAATCCTTGACTATCAAATGAGCCTAAATTTTTTATTGTCATTCGTCAAATCTCATTTTGTAGCTACCGTTAGCGTCAAATGGAGTTAAATATTTATCGTTAACGTTATTCTTACAAATATTTTACCGTCATTCGTCATGAGGGGTACCCCATTCCTACCCTCATATATCATTATTACTGTAAATGTAAATGTAATAGAAAAATCAATAACAAAAATAACAATGACAGTTTTTCATATAACTACAAACTTATTACTAGAAGACAACTTCAAAATTAGAGAGACCTAGAATCATTGGATAAGGGAGCTACCATTTGATTTTTATGGAGGGGGCGGGGGGGCTAGGATAAAATTTGAAAAAAATACCCAGGACAGGAGTTTTGAGTTAAAAAAAGGCAGGATGAGAAACTTTGCCAAAAAAAAGGCAGGACAGAGATTACAACTAAAAAAAAAAAGCAGGACAAAATTTTTCATCCTAGCCCCATAAAAATCAAATGGCAGCTCCCTAAATAGGCAAAGGACTGATAAATTAGTTTTAACTTTAGAAAGTGCTATGTTATGGCAATTCACCTTGGCAGGTCCTAGTTGACACACTGTTATATTCTATAAGTCTGAGTTATCATGTCTCAGGGTTCTCACTAAGGATTTTTGAAGGCGAGTCCAGGGACTCATCATTTTTAGCCATGGTGAGTCCAACAGTAAGAAGAAGATATTTTATTGCAATATGATTTATCATTTTAGTCTCCATGACCTAACAGAGCAATGAAATGACATTAAATTCAGACTATTTTTATACTTTTGCTATAAAATGAAGATATGTATGTTAATTTTATACAAAATATTTTAATCTTCATGCATCTTTGGACAGATTTTCATGAGTCCAGGACTCATGGACTCACCTTAGTGAGAACCCTGATGTCTATAACAAGTTATGGAAAATATGTTTTACATGTAAGGTGTAATCTTTAGTGATAATTTTAAAAGGTAATATCATTTTAAAAATCTGCAACAAAGCAAACAATACATTTGGAATTTTTTAGAGGGAAACTCATAAATCAACAAAAAATGTCTGCCTACAACTCAATTCTGGATACTCCTACACCTTATGGAACTATAGAGACCATTAAAGGAAAGGTGACTAGGTTTGTGACCTACACATGTATAGGCTTACAAATAGTTTCACCATTAAGATGAAGGACCTTGGTTTGTAACCTCTGGATGAAGGGCTAGAACAGCCCCTTGAATTACTGTACAAAAAAGTGAATAACCTATATATATATATAGCTAGCAGCCATCACCACTGAATACCATATCATGATTGTAAAAACATACTGTCAAGAACTTGTACAACACAACTGAAAATTTTACCAGCAAGTACTGATATTTACAAACATTGACAGCACCCTTTTACATAAATAATCATCCATTGATACACAGATACTAAGATATCAGTCCTTCCTACTGCGACTACTACACATTGTACATGCAATGCATGTGTCATAGTAGTGTCAGCTTCCTAAAAATATAGTATATGCCAAAACACATAATTAACAGCGCCTGGTGATGTTTCATAGCCTGACCGACTTCATTACTATATTTCCTAGTGTCAGCTTCCTACTTTATACATGATAAAAATAGTTGACAAGATACATGTACATGTATTCAGAAAAAATTGGTCTGTCTATAAGAATCCATGACAAATCGCCCCACTGGCAAATCGCCCCACACATAATCGCCCCACTTTTTCACCAACTCGCCCCACTTTCTTAAAAATCGCCCCACTTTTGTTTACCAACTCGCCCCACTTATGAAAAGGATAAAATCCCATTGAAAATAGGTTGGATATATTGCTCCATTTATGAAAAGGGAAAAAAATCACGTGATATAAAGTCAGCCAACTCGCCCCACTTGTGAAAAATAGATAAATCCTGATGAATTTAGTGATGCCAACTCGACACACTTATGAAAAATAGAAAATACCTGATGAATCAAGTTGAGTCATACCAACTCAATGTCAATAATAATGATTTAGTAAATTTTCGTTTTTTTGTATTCTGTGTATAAGATTTTTTCAGTTAAGGTAGATGGGGTGTCTAAATTATAATCCATAGAATTTTTTAATAATTTGCCAAAATGTAGTTTATATCATGCTTTTTAAAAAATAATAATAAAAAGAATGGGTCACGGGGCTTATTTTCACGCTACAGGTTGTGCAAAATTGACAGATTTTGTATAGATTATGCATGGAAAAACCAATTTTCTGCCATAAAACGAAAACTATACCATAGAATTTTGAGATAAAATATGAGAAGATAGCTCTACTAGTATGCTTTCAGATAAGGAAAAGAAAGAATGGGGTCACGGGACCCGTTTTCTTGCTACATAATAAAATAGGTAAATTCCTAACACATTCTATTGTAAATGTAACTTTATCTGAATTATCTGCCCTTACATTGAGTTGCCTCCCCTTATGTGGCAAAGTTGGAAAAAATAGAATCAAACAAAAGTATTCTTTTTTTTATAAAATACAACCATAAATATGATAAAATAGATCATTTTCTATATTGAAATGAAAATTCTTACACATGAATTACCTACTACTCTCAAAATTTGCACCTTTTATTAAAGATCTAGACCGATTGTTTTCTGGTATTTCAGAATCCAAGATGGAGGAAGACACCCTATCTACCTTAAGTGGAGCGAGTTGGCAGACCTGAAATTATATATTCATCTATAAGTTTACATTATTTCATTAAGTGGGGCGAGTTGGCAGGAGAAAAATTAACGGGATTTGGGATTTAACCCTTTTCACAAGTGGGGCGATTTTTTTTTGAAAGTGGGGCGAGTTGGTAAACCACTTTGGGGCGATTTTTTAAAAGTGGGGCGAGTTGGTGAAAAAATGGGGCGATTTGGTGTGGGGCGATTTGCCAGTGGGGCGATTTGTCCTGCTTCCGTCTATAATGTCAATCCAGACAAAGTATTAAAAGAAAGTTTGGACTTTTTAATGATTATAAATGATTAAATGTTATGATTGCTTCCCTTCATTAGTACATACTTAGAAACCAATAAGCACTTGAGCTAAGTATGTTACCTGACCTAGGTACTAGTTCACATCCAATCATGGACAATATCATCATTCATGAAAGAGGCGTCTACAAACTCTTAAAGGGACTCCGACCATTCAAAGTGACAGGCCCCAATGAAGTTCCAGCTAATATCCTTAAACAGGCAGCAGAATCACTAGCTCCTTATCTTACCCAGATGTTTCAGCTTTCCCTGGACCAGGGTAAGATACCAGATGAATGGCGCAAAGCGAACATCGTGCCAATCTACAAGAAAGGAGAGAAACACCAACCCTCAAATTACAGGCCTGTCTCATTGACATCTATATCATGCAAACTGTTAGAACATGTTATACACAGCAAAGTAATGGATCACTTTGATCGGCACCACATTCTATGTGACGAGCAACATGGATTCAGAAGTCGTCGATCCTGTGAGACAATGTATGATCTCCAGTTACAAAAGTTTCTATGTCTATAAAATTAAATCAAAGTATCAATCAGTAAAGTAAATTTAAATTACCCCAATCGTAAACAAAAGACAGATGCAGGTCTACAAAAAAATGTCAAGCTTTAAATTGTTTCCATGGGCACCGATTCTCCTAGTTGTCTTTTTTCTTAGACACTCATTTAATTATTATATGGTCAAAACTCTCCTTCAATACTTTGTCTGAGTTGGCATTATAGACGGTTACAGTTGACTTAATCTGTTAATAGAAGTTCCGTGTTGACTTATTGACGGTCCGAGTTGTCTGCGGACAAACTCATAGTTGCCTTGCACTCATAAGAAACAATGTTTAATGTCAAAGAAAGCTATCAGTCTGGCAATAGATGTGTGCAACTTACTGAACTGAGGGTTGTTAGGAGTTCTATAAGCATTAAATTTTGCATCTAAGGCAAGTGCTTGTTGCCAAACTGCTGCCATCCTGGCATTTTTTTTAACCGGAAGTATACGTAAAATATATAATATCCGGATCGATTCTGGTTTTATGGGAATGGCTTTTGTTACGAAGCTTTGAGACTTTCTAAATTATGCTATTTCCACGAAAGTTATTTGATCCATTTGATTTCCTTTGCATTATGGAAAGTCCACAACAGAGTCGTGATCCAAGCCTACAAACATAATAAAAAGTAATAAAGTAAATCTATATTTAGATTATGACAGTAGATCTAGAGTCAATATTTGGGGGGGGGGGGTCATATTTATATTGTAAGATATGGCTTTAATAATTACTAACTCCTTGGTAGAGTATTTTTGAATGAAATCAAATTAAGACCATGAAATTGAATGTCAAATTATATTAAACAATCATGAATGTGGGCCATGTGTTTACAAAGCAAATCTAGAATAGATTGTGACTATTAATTATTTAAGGAAGTATGAAACTATTTGATCACCTTTGGTTGCAAGTGCATGCATGAGCACACTTGATAAGTCCTAATTTTTAATGAAATGGGATTTTAATCTAGAAATTCATATCTTGTGTTAGATTTTTTAGTTTAATGACATAATCTCATCCAAATATTTTTTTTAATAATAATTGATTAAAAAAATTCAAAACTTTGCTTAATAAGGGGATGTAACTCAGATAATTCAGTTTTTGTTAAATAATGTACAGTACATAAATTTATTAATGACCATGCAGACCACAGTTTTTATTTTTATTTCCCGAAAACATTTTAAAAGAGCTATATTCTCATATTTTTAATAAAAATTAATCATTTGGTTTACATTCTATTCACATATTTCGTGTTTGTTTAATCCTTACAAAATATGAAAATATGAACAAGATCAATGACCTATACTGTATATTATATTTTTAAAGTTAGTAATTAAAAAAACAACATTTTTTATTTATACATCCATACAACCAAAAGACCTATTGTTGATATGGTTATTTTATATATGCCTTTAAAAAGTAAGCGTTCTTATAAAAAACTAGAGGCTCTAAAGAGCCTGTGTCGCTCACTTTGGTCTATGTGCATATCAAACAAAGGACACTCTCCAACATTGTAGACGAGGATAGACTTCATGACAAAAATCTCTATTTTGGTGATCTTGTAATACTGATCTTTTAGTCTCATTAGTTTCTCTCTATCTTCTTTAGTTTTTGCTCAAAACACAAAAGAGGGGGAAAATCTCTTTTAAGGGCAATCACTCATATGAAGAGTGACAGTCTACCAACTATATCAGCAAAATTTGACTTTTTAATAGATCTTGTCTTGCTGATCATTTTTGTAATTCAAAGTGTTTATTTATTTATTTATTATAATTTAAATCATATAAAGCATAACGGAAAAAAAATGTTTCTCTCTAAATATCATAGTTTTCATGATAATGGCAAAAATTAAAAAAACTGGAAAAATTTGTCATTTATGGGCAATAACTCCTATAAGAATTTGTCTAACAGTTTTGAAGTAGATGGAGTAATTGGTAGAGCTGATTATTCTGAACATTTTTGCTCCCTTTCAGATTTTCTCTATTTTTAACGGTTCAAAAAATAATAGACAAAACTTGCATTTTACCCGCTATGTTCTATTTTTAGCCATGTCGACCATGTTGGTTGGTTTTTCGGGTCATCGAACACAATTTTAAACAAAATACCCTAATGATGATTGTGGCCAAGTTTGGTTAAATTTGTCTCAGTGGTTTCTGAGGAAAGGATTTTTGTAAATGATTACAAAAATCAACAAAAAATTGTTTAAAATTGACTATAAAGGGCAATAACTCATTTAGGGGTCAATTGACCATTTGGTGATGTTGACTTATTTGTAGATCTTACTTTGCTGAACATTATTGCTGTTTACAGTTTATCTCAGTCTGATTAAAACCAGCCCCAACTATCCACTTGCGTTTGCAAGTGGATAGTGGGGGTTGGTTTTAACCAGATTGCAGTTTATCTCTATCTATAATAATATTCAAGCTAACCAAAAACTGCAAAATTTCCTTAAAATTACCAATTTAGGGGCTGCAACCCTACTAGGGGCTGTCTGATTAGTCTGAAAATTTCACGGCAGATAGATCTTAACCTGATGAAAATTTGACCTCATTTCAGATTTGCTGTAAATGCTTTAGTTTTAGAGATATAAGCCAAAATAAATCTGCATTTTACCCCTATGTTCTATTTTTAGCCATGGCGGCCAGGTTTGTTGGTAGGCGGGTCATCGGACACATTTTTTAAACTAGATACCCTAATGATGATTGTGGCCAAGTTTAGGTTAATTTTGTCTCAGTACTTTCAGAGGAGAAGATTTTTGTAAAAGATTACAAAAATCAACAAAAAATTGTTAAAAATTGACTATAAAGGGCAATAACTCCTTAAGGGGTCAATTGACAATTTTGGTCATTTTGACTTATTTGTAGATCTTACTTTGCTAGATAATATTCAAGATAAAAACTGCAAAATTTTCTTAAAATTATTAATTCAGGGGCAGCAACCCAATAACAGACTGTCTGATTTGTCTGAAAATTTCAGAGCAGATGGATCTTGACCTGATGAACAATTATACTCCTGTCAGATTTGCTCTAAATGCTTTGATTTCAGAGATAAAAGCCAAAATCTGCATTTTACCCCTATGTACTATTTTTAGCCATGGCAGCCATCTTGGTTGGCAGGCTGGGTCATTGGACACAATTTTCAAACTACATACCCCAATGATGATTGTGGCCAAGTTTGGTTAAATTTGACCCAGTAGTTTCAGAGGAGAAGATTTTTGTAAAAGTTAACGGACGAGGATGATGGACAACGACGGATGCCAAGTGATGAGAAGAGCTCACTTGGCCCATAGGGACAGGTGAGCAAAAAAGGAGTTGTGGTAATGATTGCCAATGAGGCAACTATCCATCAGAGTATTTTTGAATGATTTTAATATTTGTTAGTAGAAATGGTCAGAATTTTATGCATGATATTCAGTAATAGCATGCATGTAAGTTTGGTGAGTTTGGTCTATCTTGTCCCTAATATGATGCATTTTGTTATGGGTCATTGTCCAAAAACATGTACCAGTAACATTTTACAGCTGGTTTGATTACAGCTTGTTTGATTATTATCATACAGAATTATTGTAAAGCATTGCATCTACGTAATTATTCAGCTTAGTTTGAATTGCTCAGTGATTAGCAATAATCATCTTTCTTCTTTCTTTTTTCTTCCAATACTGTGGAGGTGATAACACATTTATTCCTTTAGAGCTCAGAATCCCAGTTGATAACAGAAGTTCTTACAGACCCAATAAAACACCACTTGATAAACGTTTTCAACAACACCTTCAGATGATATATATTTCCCGTTAACAAACCAGATTGTTCTAAATATACTCACAAAAAATGTTTAACCACAACACTTTTTTGTACCTGTTCCAAGTCAGGAACCTCTAGCCTTTAGAAGTTTTCTGTGTTATTTAAAATTTTTGTTCATTTGCATGTTTTTAGAGCTAAAGGTGGTGCCAATTCGCTTAACCAGTATATTACTGTTTAGGGACCAGCTGAAGTCTGCCTCCAGGTGCGGGATTTTCTCGCTGCATTGATGGCATTGGGCTGTTTTTTGCACTTCTTTGGGTGGGTTGTTGTCTCTTTGAGACATTCCACTTCTCCAATCTCTTTTCTAATGATATTTATCCTCTTCAACTTTTAATTGTTAATTAAAAGTGACCAATGTCCATTTTTAGGCCATTTATTAGAATTCCCCATGGTCATCTTCATACCAAAATGGAAGATCAGCTTTCCAATTTCCCCAATGTTGCACATACCTTATCTGTTTAAAGGCAAAAAAAAAAATGGTATTTTACAAGAAATGTAGGCCTGAGATCACTATAACAATGTTATTTTTCCATATTTTTCTATTTTCTAGAAGAATAACTTCTGTAAACAGTTGGTCCACATTCTTCCATTGTAATTTTCTATACAATTTATTTTTCATGGGGCATAACTCTTTTTAAAATAGTTGATATAGTTGATATCGCAGCACTGATTTACCAATTTGTTCGAGGCATTTCTGATATAAACCTTTAATATAAATTTTATGTAGTTCATACGTGTTTCTCGTTTCTCGTTTTTACCAGATTAGATTGTTGGCTTTTCCGTTTGAATGGTTTTACACTAGTAATTATTTGGGGCCCTTTATAGCTTGCTGTTCAGTGTGAGCCAATTCTCCGTGTTGAAGGCCATACCATGACCTATAATGGTTTACTTTTATAAATTGTAACTTGGATGGAGAGTTGTCTCATTGGCACTCATACCACATCTTCCT